AAATTTCTTCAAAACAGTAATTCCAACATGGGTAAAGCACTCCTCAGTAGTCACATAACTAAATTCTGTGGATACACGCACACACACACACACATGAATATATTGGATATGTGATATGCAGAAATCACAAGCATTCCCCTTCCATCCAGACTATTTTTTATTTCTGTTTTACTTCATATGAGCTTGTTTCCATGATGGTATAGGCTTTAATTGTCTTTTAATCGAAAGTGGAGATGTAAAACGTAGTGCATATTGAGGTCCTCCAGCTTTATCATTTGTACCTTGAAAAATGAAAGAAAGTAAGTGAGGTAGTAAGATGTCTCATAAAGTGGAATCAATTACATTTCATTCCTATAAGTATTTTTTTAAATGATGTAATACGGTAAAAACAGAAGACAAGGGCCAGGAAACAGATCGTTTACTTAGGAAATCAATACATATTTATAGATTTTCATGTACATATTATAGATTATTGTTAGCAGAACGATACAGTCCTCTGAATGGTTATTTTTCACAGAAAGTTAATCTTGCATCTCTTTGTGGCTGTTTCTTGAATGTCAGATCATCTATATGCTAACTGTATCCGCCTACGCAAAGCCCTTCTTCTCATTTTTCTCACGACCAATATTGGGGACATAAACATTGACGTAAAATACTGTCCACCAATTTTGACTAACAGCCAGCTCTCAGCACAGTACAACTTTCACTAATTTAATTTTCGTTAAATTTTCTTGTATCGCAAAAACTCGAAGAACGAAAAATTGGCAGAAGAAGAAGAAGCAAAGACAGGACTTCAAGTGAACACAGAGAAGTCGGAGATGATGAAAATAACCGGTCAACCACCCACCACCAATAACAGCCGGCACCAATCACTATGAACGGGAGAAATTTGTAAGAGATCACTTCCTTCACTTATCTAGGATGTATTGTGGTGGTGCGATGAAGACAATGTGTTCGAACGGAATGTTATGCCCACATATTTCCACAGTTCAATACTGCATACTATGTATATATATATATAATTTATTTTTGATTATAGCTTGATTCCACACCGTATTATTGGCACAAGTATGGAATTTTCAGCATGTGATATCGGTAGCCCAAATTTTGCAGGCCGCCCATAGATATCAGGTGTGCGCCGGCAGGGGATCGAACCTCGGACCATCTGCATGGTCGGCGAGAGTTCTTACCGGATGTCAAAATCAGAATCAGAAAGGCAAGATAGACATTCATCACCCTGATATCAGTTTGGAAATCCTCAGAATAACATTAGGACTTTCAACACAAATATTAAGTCAATTCTTCTATATGGGTCAGACACTTGGCGCGTCGCAAAAAGCACTTCAAACAAGCTGTAGACTTTTTATCAACGACAACTGCCTAAGTTCCATACTTAGGATCAAATTGTAACAACAGAAGACAAGGGCCAGGCAACATACCGTTTATTTAGGAAGTCAACAGATATTTATAGATTTTCATGTACATTATTATAGATTATTTTAAGCAAACAAACACAGTCTTCTGATTGGTCGTTTCTCGTTGAACGTTAATCTCTCATCTCTTTGTGGCCATTTATTGAAGTTTAGATCATTTTTATGCTAAATGTATCCGCCTATGCAAAGTCTGCTGTGGTTGGTTGTTGAATCAGTCTTTGTTCTTATTTTTCTCACGACCAATATTTGGGACGTAAACATTGACGTAAATTACTGTCTACCAATTTGACTAGCACCCAGCTCTCACCACAAAATGACGGCTAGAAAGAACTGGCAACGAGAAATTCTGGTAACAAAACAACCAAGAATCGATTGCTCAAAACATATGCAGAAGAAATCGGAAATGGATTGTGCACACTCTGAGGAGACCGTCGAATAACATCACGCGCCAGGCCATAGCTCAAGTGGGACCCAAGTGGGAAACGACGTGTTGGGCGTCTGAGGGTGACATGGAGGAGATTGTGTGAGGAGGAGATGAGAGACTATGGGCAACCGTGTGGACATCTAAAGAGGACCGCAGAGAATACGAAAAGGTGGAGTCGTGCTGTTGAAGCACTCCATTCTACTGGGAACCAAAGGGAACAATAATAATAATAATGTACATAGATATGTGACCGAGAAGTATGAATTTATCCCCTAATCTTTGTCTACTTATAACTTTCGGGCCATTTCGGTTTACTTTCGTGAAAAATTCTCATGACATTTGAAGTGCATATTCAATCACTCAACATAAATGACACTTAAGAATTCCTTATCTTTAATGTAATATTCTTATTGTTTTGTCGAAATTCATAAAGGGAACCAATTGCTTTAAATGTAAATATAACCATAAAACTCGATTAAAGTTGTCTGAAACAAATAACCTTCACAGTTAATTTAATTGCAAAGGAACTTGTAAAAACTATTCCGTCCTCGTTTTAGATTCTCCAACAATGCACGTCCACCTATGCTACACTGACGCGAAACAAACACCCAGGGAAAAATCGTGTTAAGTTACTAGTCAAATCAATGAGGAGAAATCAATTGGCCTATAATTATGGGTTTCTATTGATTGGACAATATATTACCATTGCTACCACACACACACAACCGGAGGATGTCAAAGTCACAGAGGATAGGGAAAAGCAAGATAAACCTTCATTACTCTGTAGTCAGAGTGTAGAGATCTACAACACATTCGATACAAAAAACAAGATCAGAATTCTGTTTAAACAATAAAACGTCAAATCAGTCAGTGCTTCTATATGGTTCAGATACTTGGAGCGTGTCAATAAAACGATTTCCAACAGATACCTTCATTCCATACTAAAGATCAGATGACCAGTCGGAAAGGATAAGCAAGAAGGAATTCTATCAGGCGCGGGGGGTGGGGGAGCGAACCAGCCAAGAACTTGTTACATATGGATTAGACATACAGTGACTGTGAGAAGACCACTAGTGGAACCTAAATGGGAAATGACGACTTGGGTGTCTGAGTGTGGGAACAAGTAAACAGGAAATGAAAGCTTAAGGGGAATTATGGAGCCAGCGTACAGAGTGAAATGGAGATGTGACGTTGAAGCCCCACGTTCTATTCGGAACCCAAGGGAATAATAATAGTAATTATTATTTTATTATATCACGCACTGCTAATAACCAAATATATTTTATTATAATGAAGGGATAATTTAAAAAGCTATTGGTCAGTCAAATTGGAAATTTTTCTTTTTCAATATGGCTAAAGCGTCATATTTAGAAAATTCAATGGGTATATCATATACTCATTTAAATAGATATTGACGAATTACAACTTATTAATTAGGGGTGAATCAGCTGTCAAATTTCATGAGTCGGTGGCACAGTGGTTGAATGCTCGCCAACTACCCCTCATGTGGTCCAGGGTTCGATCACCGGCCACCGACGTACTTCTAAGCGTCATTAAGCCAGGAATGAAACTGGTAATGAGGGAAGGTTGGCCATGAGGCCAGCAGCAACCCCATCCCGTAGAATTATACACCACTGCTACCGCACATTCAAAGTTCTAGCTAGAAGCCCTATGTTCCAGTGGGAATGTAAAGTGATAAAATAATAACATTCTGTCAAATTTCGCCATCTGCAGAGTAAGTAAGTCACAGTTCATATATATATATATATATATATATATATATATATAATATTCCTTTACGTTCCGGCTGGAACATAGGGCTTCAAGCTAGAGACTTCAAGTTTCGGTAGCAGTGGTGTTTACTTTTACACGATGGGGTTACTAGCCTCATGCCCAACCTTCCCTTTTTACCAGTTTTATTAATGGTGTAGTGAGGTAAAGGAGTGCGTCGTCGGCCGGTGATCGAACCCCGGACCACATGAAGCGTAGTTGGCGAGTATTCTGCTGCTGTGTCACTGATGCACACAAGTTTATAAGTAAAGGCCAATTTATTTAGTAATATAAAACATTTACCTGATAATCTAGCGCCTCCAAATGGTTGTTGACCAACTACAGATCCAGTCGATTGAACATTTACATAAAAGTTACCAGTTGTATCAATAAGACGATCAGTTGCAGACTTAATGAACGCTTCATCTTGAGCAAAAATAGCACCTATATATATGTATATTAAGGAAACAATAAACAACTATGTAGTGAATTCTCGGATAAATTCAATTTACTTGTATAATATACACTGTAATCAATATAACGATATTCTCTTCTAGCAATCAAAAAAAGCAAAACAGACATTCATGCAAGGACAAAATTTAGTGAGCTTTTTTGTACTTCCAAGGATTTTTATCTTTACAAACGACACTGTTGCCCTACAGGCCTATTATAAAGGTGAAAAATGTTGTCCATACTATTGATTGTGTTCATACATAAGATCCAACGTAATAGATATTTTCTTTAGTACCTGAGTTTGAGGAGGATTGATTAATAGGAGGGGTCATTAATCATAGCTACTTATATAGCACACACACACACACGCTGAGAAGACCATTAGGTGACGTCACTTGATAGACTCTCGAATGGAACACGAATGGTAAACGGCATATTAGGAGTCTAAGAGTGGTATTCAAGAAATCGTGTGAGGAGGAGACGACAGTTTATGATCAACCATGGAGCCAGTTGAAGAGAACTTCAGAAAACAGAATGAAATGGAACCCAAGAGAATAGTAATAATAATAATGATATTACCTCTCTAAAGTATCGATTGACCATGGACCACTTGAATAACTTCAATTCCGTTCTACTTTTAAATGACGATAAAATATTATTATTGTATTATTGTTCCCTTGGGTACCTAGTGGAACATAGGGCTTCAACTGCACGTCTCCACTTGCCACTTCTGTCTTCTGCTGTACTTTTCACCTACATCCATGTTAGTCCATACTGTTTCGACTCCTCTTCACACGATCTTCTCCATATCACCCTTGTACCGACGACCTACTTGCCGCTTGCCTTACAGGTTCCACTCGAGCGACGGCCTGAAGCACACGCGATGTCACCCAGCGGCCTTCTCAGCGAGTGTCCAATCCATCTCAATCCACTTTCTCCTGCATATTTGTTGGGCGATCGACTCTCGTCTGTTGGTTTGTTCCCATAGTTTCTTGTTGGTGATTCTTTCCGGCCCAGTCATCTGATCTTCAGTATAAAGCGAAGACAGTTGTTGTTGATAAAGGTCTGCAACAGGCTGTTGGAAATATTCTTTGTGACCCTCCCCCCAACAAGTTTCTGATCAGTATAGAAGAACTGACTGACCTGACGTTTGTATTGAAGATCCGAATTCGGTTGTTGATGCTGAGTAACGAATAATATCCTCTCACTTAAATTTGCATAGATAGGACAACCAACATAGAACTCTTCTTGAGGAACGTGACAGAAATAAACTAATGAATTCTACTTCAAAAAGTAGGTTTGAAATTGATCATTTTAGACGATCGATCTTCAAACAATCAATCACTAGTTTGAAAACTGCAGCAGGACAGTCCCAACATGGCTAACATACAACACATGTAGCTAGTTATAAACAGCATGAAGATGAATATGGTTTCTAAGTTGCATAAAAATGAGTTACACTGTCTAGTGGCTATTAACACTGGATGTGTAGCTCTCACAGGCTTATGCCATCGACTTTCAGTAAGTAGATCTCAAGTTAGAATCCCCCCTCACACAATGTGCGGCTCATAGCCTGAAACATAAAATACCTGTTTAGGGGAATGAGTTCAAATAGACAAATGGAATTATTGAATAAAAGATACTCCAGCTTAAGTTCTAAGCATTTTGAAGGTCTAGAATCACTACGAATGGTTGATTTGAGTACACCTACATATTAGGGAAAAGAGAAATCAAATAGTTTCTTGTTGTTGGGTAAATCCTTACAGTTTACAGTATAAATAATGATAAGAATAAAACGTTAATAAGAAAACTATATATATACAGTAATTCACTCACCAGTCAATGCATACTCTGTGGTTGTGTTGACCAAGTCTAATGTTTTATCGACTTCATTGTCACGATACACGTATGCACATACAATTGGTCCGAAAATATCATCCTGAAAATAGAGGGAAATAAAAGTCACCGATTTTCATCAGTGTCATATGTTTTATAAGTTATCGAATAATACTCACGAGCAGAGCAAGAAAGATATGTACAGGATGATCACTTACAAAAGGACTTGAATAAATTCATGATGTCTTGACGGAGGTGGGGTATCCGAGTAGTTTCATAAAGAAACATATAAAAACACTGGGTAGTAAACCTGAGAACTGTGACAATATGGAAGAAACCTCTGTTTATTAAGTTACAATTTAATGGGAACTTATCAAGTGAGATTTTGATTCTAGATACTTTCCAGAAGTATACGAAGAACGTCTTATGCAGCCAACCTATGTTTGTCATTCTCTAGCCAACGTATGATTGGGAATCAAACAAAGGATAAACAAGATAGTTTTACCGCATCTATGTTTATTTATCAATTCAACTGTACCTGCGATGATAGTAATGTTGGGCATAATACTAGACAGCTTAGCCAACGTGTTACTGAACATCTCCCATCGTGGTTCGGCAATGGACAGACAAAAACCATATGTAGCTTGGTTTTGTCATATTTAGTGGAAATGAAAGGATTCAAGGAGATTTCATCGCATCTCACCGAATCTTCCCAGTGGACTTCGTATTCGTCTACCGCATATAGCTGAGACAATAGGCGTTCGAAATATTCAGCCTAAACTATGCATTCAGAAAAAGTTCGTAAAGTCATTATCCCTCCTTTGGCCTATTGAGACATAACCAACTGATGACATCACCACCACCCTTACTTATATTTTCAGTCCCTCTCTTATCATACCTTAATCTTATTTCATTTACTTTCCTCACAATCTAGCAATACTTACATCGGACTATTTGTTTTTCTTAACCTTTATCCACTACTTCTACCTGAACATTTGTTTGTTTAATTATGCTGTCTTTCATTATTCTTGTTATCACAGATCATCTCACTTTCCCACATTTGTTGTTAATAGAATCATTATTATTGTTATTATTGATTGCACAATTTATATGCACAATCTTATAATCCTATTGATAAATCGCCATGATTGGTTTATATTTGAATATTTATTTGTAAAGTTATGCATATTAGAGGTAAGCCTGATGAGATCTAATTGAAAACAATATTGTTCGCTTAAATGTGTTGTTCTAAAGAATACTTGATAAAATCCTACATAACCAAGACAGAGTAAGGAGGGTGGAATAAACTCTTTTCAATAATTTACAAATTGTCAATTGACTACCACATTATACTGTAATCCTACAGTTCTATTTCGTGCAATCAATAAACAAGGTGATAAAAGAGGCAATCACATTAAAAATTGTTTTAGTCAAGGGAATCATTTACGAAACAATTAATAATCCCACCAATATGAGAGAATAATGACTTAGACAATATGGTCAATATTGTCAGTTTAAACTTTTAAATGATCTGAAAACTTCTAGGCGTGGTACAGATCGCATCAATTTCCGTCTGTGGTTAAAACAATAGACAGTTACTAGGATGTTACTGTTTGGCTGATGGTGGACTAGCAGTGGAATGCAGGATGCGCATTTCATCCTATTTGCGATCCGTCATCTGGATGATGTTCCCACCGAGACTCGAAACTGCACCCATCATTACAAAAGATAAATCGTTGTACACCATGTCACAAGAGTCACCTCTTGTGCAATGGGTATGAGTTGTTATTTGTTTATTCAACAGACAGGAAATGCTAGTTAACTCAATAGTGGTCTACTGAGAAATGTGTAACGATAACTACTTTACCCTGGTTATGAAAGACATCAACGGTAAACTAGTATCTCATTCACTAGCTACAAACAAACGGTACAGTACTACAAAATGTGCTGTCCTCCATTGTTATACTGAATTCTGTCATAAACTACCATCCATAATGAGTTGACTCCATAAATCCTAGTCTCAAACCTGATTTAGATTTGGATATATTTACGTATATTGAAGAAAAAACTATTAAATCCAAACAGAATCACAAATTCAAAGCGAATAAACTGTTACATATGATATCAAAAAAGAAAGAATCATCATTCGGTGATAAATGAAAGCCAACTTAAGGAATCATTTTATTTAGCCAGTGCTGTTTGGCTATAGAATTCAAAATGCGCTTCTCATCCTCACTTGGATGTACACCTGTGTCGAGACTTGAGCTCATTCAGCACTTATCATCTCAAACTCCAAAGCTTCTGAAATAATAGAGAACATTTATAGCTCAGATGGATGTTTTTGATTTGGTTGTGGTTAATGCTGAATACGTTGTCTAGAGGTATAATGAGAGTTTCATAATTAAACCATCCAGGTCAAAAAACTTAATAACGTGAACATCGGATAGTTATCAACTAGATTTCTGAGCCAAGAGTACGGACACTTTCGTACTAAAAGCCGACATGTCAACACACACAAGGCATATCACTCCAGTAACATCAGACAAAGATAAATTAGAAATAATTTCAAATCATCTTCATTAAATTTTTGTTAAACTCTATCATTTTTATTAAGTAGGATAGATAAACATTGCTGTGAGATGGTTGGAGGCAGTCAACAGAAATCCTTAGACTCATGTTTCGCGCTTGTAGACACACATCAGCAAGGCGTATCTGCAATCTTGAAGGAACTCATCTCCCTTCTGAGATTCGAAACCGAACCAACCAGTGCTGCAGTCGGAAACGTTGCCATGGAGCTATTCGAGCTCGCAATTGACCTCCTGTAGGACTGACTGTATTGGATACTTTGATTGGAAAGTAGGTAATAACTAGTATCATGAGTCTAGTCCTAGGTGTGTTAGTGCAGAGTCAATTCTACTAGTCATCTTATCGCAGATAACTAAAAAATGAAATGGACTCAAAAGTCTGAATGAATTAAATCTGATATATTATGTTAATAAGACACTTCTTCTCTGTCGAAAGCATCAAGAATTTGAAGCAGAAGTATTCAAATGATCGGTAAGTTAAGCTTAATAATTGGTTTGTAAGGATTAGATTTGTTTTTACGAATTGAAAACAGTTAGAATTCATGGGCCATTGAATCGGGTCCCAGTGGCTGAATGGTATGCGAGCTTGCTGGCCTTGTAACCGGAAGGTCCTGGACTCGAACCCCATTGGATACGTACTGCCGATGATCCCAAACTAGGATGAAACAACTGTCCAGTACTGCAGAGCTGGTTTTCAATGGTTCTCTAATTGATATCAATCCGTTATCAACTCGTAAAAAGTTAAGCTTACACAAAACACATTTGAATTCAAAAACTGCGCTACAAGATATCAGAAAGTACTAAGCCAGTATTCAGTTGATTTGAACTGATTTGGCTATCTGATCTGAGTCAAAATCCACTGCTACTGACGTAATCAGTTCCAAATGAGTGAAACGACGGTTCAGTGTTTAGATGTGAGTTGTATCCAACTACTTATATCAGTTAATTAGTAGCTTAATAAATTATCCGAAATTCAATCGTAAACGAAATATGAAAGAATGTTAAACCCTTAAACTAGTCTATAAAGAAATTCATATCATTTTAAAAAGATATTAAAATGAGCAAATTCACCTTCATTAATTTATCCGTTGGATTCTTCGTTTTTAATATTGTAGGTTCAATAAAATAGCCGACTTTATCATTCCCATGACCGCCAGCAATAACTTCAATATCTGCACAACTAGATGCATATTGTAGGTAACTAGAAATTTTTTTGAATGCCTAAAATAAAATATACATTTATTTTACTTATAATAGTTGGTTGAAAAAATTTACATAATATAGCACAACCGAAAGTAGAGAAATTTGATAGAATACTGTCCACCTCTGATTATACACACATAGAGCCAGAAAACAACTAATAAGAGATGTATCGTTCCAGAGATGAATTAAAACAAGTTTGAACCAGAAGAAAATGACCAAATCACGAAAACAAAGCACTTGTATCACCGTCGTTTTAAGCGTAGATCTATCAGGAACTATAAAGTTACCACTGGTTAGTTTTTTCATTACTTTGCTTCCACAGCTTGAGCTCTGAAGTTTCAGTGGCAGTGGTGCTGTCATTTTTACGGGTTGAGATTTCTAGTCTCACTCCCAACCTTCTGTCTCTACCGCGCTTTCTACCGGATGAGTGAGGTTTAGGCGTGCGTTGGGCAGCAGTCGGACTCAAACCACGTGCGTGGTTGGTTGGTGAGCATCCTACTATTGAAACACCGACGCGGTTGGTATTTTTAACTACTACTAATTTACAAGTAGGGATTTTTTGTTTGATTGGTTGGAGGGTTTCATCAGGAGCTGACATTGGTTAGAGAACAATTGGAAAGCTAGCTGGGAGTACTGGACAGCTGTTTCGTTATAATTTGGGACTCCTCATCAGTACGCACCCACCGCCGAGACTGGAATCTAGGACCAGGCAAGCTAGCTCGTAGACCACTGAGCAGCCACTGGGACCCGATCCAGTGGGCAGTCCATGAATTCCAACTTCTGCCGATTGTTGACTTAGCGCGACCACTTCGCAATGTCTTCTTCGATGAGTTACTGTCTCACCTTCAACCTGCTGTACCCTACTGGTCACGGCTTCCCACTAGAACCCCAGGTTAAATGCCTGAATAGGGCCAGTCGCTAGTGAGCATCAGATTAATTAATTTCCAAGTGTTGGTTTTGTAGGGATAGTTTGTTTGATTGGTTGTAGGATTTCATCATGAGCTGATATCATTTTATCATATAACCTCACCAACTTTCATAGGGTTTTAACTGGTCCTTTAAATAAATAAATAATTATCACTGTCAATTGAATCTTAAGCTTAAGAACGGTTGTTTGTAATAATACATCACTTGTACGCATACAGCTCAAAAGAGTGTAAATATATTTCAACAGGTGATCCAATACCAATTAGTTTATACGAAGACAATTATTTAAAACAAAACCAGTTCTAGTGAAAAATACAAGAATCTTCTCCTACAGTTAGCTACAACGTTTGAAGAAAGGTGGAAAATATCACAAACATTATATAGAGCCTGTAGTACTGTCACGAAGAGAAATCAATAACAAATAACTTGATAACATAAATCAGCAAAATATACAAAAGGTTTATCGACTTACGTGTCATCTGTGTATGTCGTCTTTAACTAACTGAAGAATGAGGATAATCGAGATGGTAGACAAGATCGCCTATTCTTACTTAAGTAGTATCTCGATCAATTGTCTGACTAACTTTCAAGTACTGATATTACAATACATCGACTACATTCAAAATGTTTACTTAGAAATTTCTCAAATTAAAACGTTACACCAATGTGTTCTAGCGTAGCAATACAATCACTTATTGTATGCAACACAATAACCAAAAAAACATCCTAAAGGATAAATCACTCATTGCGAGATTAAATGATAATCACAAGTAAGTTCATGAAATAAAAGCAGCTCAATTGTTGATCAAAAAGTCTCTATAAAGAGAACTATAAATATAGCATCCCATCTTATGCTTAAAATAAACTACGAAAATAGATATTTATAAAAACAAATATCTTATAAGCAATCAGAAAGAGATCACATTACATTAGATGGACTAAATGTAGGGAATGAAATTGGTTACTTTCTAATTATGAGAATTTTTGACAACATGAAATTCCACACTTCTCCGACCCTATTCACCGCTAACTGATTATAATCAGAAGAGGATTCCTCACAAGAGTTAAACTACTGAACATAAATTCACATTTACTAAATAGAGGTATTATCAAAATAAAAACGAAGTTTATGATGAAAGTATTCCTTAAATAAAGATACTAGCTTTGATAGCGTGAAATATTCCCATATTATGAATTAAAAGTCAATCTGAACGAAGAATATTCTTTTCAATAATTTCTCTTCAGGTTCTTATTATTATTGCTCCCTTGGGTTCCTAGTGGAACATAGGGCTTCAACTGCACGTCTCCATTTGCTTCTGTCTTCTGCTGTACTTTTCACCTGCATCCATGTTAGTCCATACTCTTTCAACTCCTCTTCACACGATCTCCTCCATGTCACCCTTGGACGTCCCACACGCCGCTTCCCTTTCGGGTTCCACTCGAGGGCTTGACGCGCGATGTCACCCAGCGGTCTCCTCAGCGAGTGTCCGATCCATCTCCACTTTCTCCTGCATATTTGTTGTGCGATTGGTTTTTGCTTTGTTTGTTAGTGCCCATAGTTTCTAGTTGGTGATTCTTTCCGGCCCAGACATCTGATCTTCAGTATAGAGCGAAGACAGTTATTAATAAAGGTCTGCAACCTTTTGGAAATATTCTTTGTAACCCTCCAAGTTTCTGATCCGTATAGAAGAACTGACTTGACGTTTGTATTGAAAATCCGACTGGATTTTGTTGTTGATTCTGGCTGAGTGACGAAGATTTCCAGATTGATTTCAGGTTGGTTGATGAATGTGTTTCTCGCCTTCCTGATTCTCGCTCGATTTGACATGCTCGTCCGTTCTGAATTCCTGTATTTGAGACAATGCTCAATGCTAGATAAGTGAATGAAGTAACCTCTTTCAAATCCCTCCCGTTGATGGTGATTGACGCTGGATGTTGTTGCTGCTGTTGTTGTTATTGGTTGGTTGGTTATTTTCATCACCTCCGTCTTGTCTATGTTCACTTGGAGTCCTGTCTTCGCCGGCTGCTTCTTCGACCAGTTTGTCGGTTTTCGCTTGTAAGTCTTCGATTGTGTGTGACATCAAACATAAATCATCCACGCGCGAAATCCAGGTCTTCTAGGTTCTTCACGTCGGTCCAGGATATTCCTGTCCTCTCGTTTCCCACTGTCTGACGCATAATCCACAGTCCACCACAATTAGGAATATCATTGGTGATAATAAGCACCCTTGTCTGACTCCTGTGTTTACTCCAAACGCCCCGCTGAGTTTTCCGCTGTGGATGACTTGACATGTTCCGTTGTCGTACAGCTGTTGAATAAGGTTGATGAATATTTGGGGCGCTGCACGCCTTAGTAATTTCCAAATTACTTCACGATCAACGCTGTTGAAGGCCTTTTCAAAGTCTATAAAGTTGAGGTAGAGGTTTGATTGCCATTCCATGCTTTGTTCGATGATGATGCGTAGAGCTGCAATTTGATCAGTACATGATTTGCCTTTCCTGAATCCAGCTTGTTCTGGTCGGAGTTCTGTCTCCAGTCTGTCTGTCTGTTTGTCTGGATTCAACATAGAACTTCGCACCGAAGTGCACCAGTTCGAGTTGCCACGTTCCAAATAGCACACAGAGGTAGACAAGAAGATGAGTGAAGAGAATCAATACAGTCTGACAAGTATAAGAGTGAAACAGAATGGGTAATGGTAGAAAGGAATATGAAAGATTACAGAGACTGAATACATCTGCGCTGGCCATTGACAACGATTTGAGCCATGTCACCTATTGTCTCCAGCCATTGATTCCTAGAGTCCCGAGGGCCCCAACCCGGAAGTCTGCATCTCCCTACCTGACTCAGTTTAACTGTCAAGGATTTCATGGATTGATGAGGCCATGTTTTTGTTTGGCCACCACTTACTCTTTTCCAACCTGCACCTATATCAGCTAGCAATGCCCGTCGGGGGAGGCGGTGGTTAGGCATGCGCACCACGTGACCTAGCCATCTCAGTCTATGTAACTTTATAGTCTCGTCGATTGATTTTCCCTGTTTGCCCAACACTCTACGCCTAACGTCAACATTACTTACCTTATTAAACCACCTAACGTGAGACAGAGATCGCAGACATCTATGATCGAAAGCAGTCAACCTTTTCATGTCTTCAACTCGTATTGGCCATGTTTCAGAGGCATAGACAAGGATGGAGCGAACTGCTGAGCAGTACACACTCTATCTCCAGTGCGTCATTTAATCTCTCCAGGATGATGCGACTCAGGATTTTACTTGGCGTCGAAAGAAGCATGATTCCTCGCCAGTTCTTGCAGAGTCCTAAGTCGCCCTTCTTTGGTAGTTTCACGAGGTAACCTTTCCTCCAGTCAGTAGGCACCTTTCCCTCCTTCCAGACCTTTTGCGATAATGGAGTCAGCATGTCTGCTGTAGTCTCTGGGTCTGCTTTCAGTGCTTCAGGGGTATTCCATCTGGTCCGGCTGTTTTCCAGCTTTCAGAAGTTTGATTGCGTTCAAGACTTCAGCTCTCGTTGGAGGATTGGTGTCAACTTGCAGTTGTGTGCGCGCTGTTTTTGGTATTTCTGGAAGGGTTGCAGGTGATGGTCGGTTCAAGAGTCCTCTGAAGTGGTCCGCCCATTGTTTAATCTGTTTTTCTTCATTGATAATTTACGTCCCTTGGCTGTCTTTTATAGGTTTCACTTGTGTTGATCTCTTCCCGGATAGAGATTTGGTTGTCTGATATAGTGTCCTCAGGTCCCTTTTCCCTGCTGCCTTCTCAGCTTCAGTGGACAGGTTGTCGTAGAATCGTCTTTTGTCCTTCCTAGCACTTTCTTCACTTCTTTGTCCAGTGCTGTGTAACTTGAGCTCAGCGTCTCCTTCTCCTGTCCGTCCTTGTATTGAATCATTTTTTCTTTCACCATTCTCCTCTCTTCTATTAATTTCCAAGTGTCCGTTGAGAGTCATTCCTTGTCTTGTCTCCTCTTTCTTCCTAGAACCGTTGAACACGTTTCGTTGACAATCGCCTTCAGAGACTTTCAAGGTTCTTCCACGCCCGATTCTTCAGTGATGTCGCGTAGTGTTTCCTGCTTTGCTATGACAGTTGCAGTGAAAGTGTCCTTTGTGGTTTTGTCCTTCAGTAATTGAGTGTTGAACTTGCATTGTGGCCTATCCCAGCTATTCTCGAGGCTTTTAGTTTCACCTTGAAAGTCCCTTGTACTAGATAGTGGTCTGAACCCACATCTGCTCCTCTCCTTGACCTTGTGTCCAGTAGGCTCCGTCTCCACTTTCTTGAAATTGAGATGAAGTCTATTTGGTTCTTGGTGTTTCCATCTGGTGAAATCCATGTCGTCTTGTGTATATCCTTGTGTTTGAACACACTGCCACCAATCACCAAATCATTGAAGGCGCAGAAGTCTGAGAAGAGTTCACCATTGTCGTTCATTTCACCGAGGGCCTCACGACCCATGGTGAGTTCTCTTTCTGTGTTATCTCCTCCCAGCTTCGCATTCATGTCGCCCATCAGGATTTTGATATCGCCATTTGGGACGTTGTCCATTATTGCATGTAGTTGTCTGTAGAATGCCTCCTTCTTCTCTTGTTCTGAGACGTTTGTAGGCGCATAGCATTGAATGACTGTAACTTTCCTTCCTTTTGAGTTGAACCTGGCTGTCACTGTCCTTGAGGAGATAGGTTCCCACTGCATGAGAGCTTTGGCTGCTGTTGGTGACATTATGATGGCCACTCCCTTGGTGTGCTCATGGTTGTCCTCTGGGTGGCCGGAATAGATTATTGTCTCTCCAGTTGGTAGTTGGTACCTTCCAGCTCCGTTCCATCTGTTTTCGCAGATTCCCAACACTTCTATTCTATACCTTCTCATTTCAGCGGCTATCTGGGCAGCCTTTCCAGTTTCGTACATTGTACGAACATTCCAGGTACCCATCCTTACTTTTGCTTTCATCGGAAGAAGGCATATCGGCTGACTGGCTTCCCGAAGGCTTTCACCAGCCTGCGTCATTTCACTTCTCCGATTCCAGCAAAAAATAAGGTTATTGTTTATGTTTTTAGAATTTTTAATTTATTTATTCGTTGAAGTTTCTATTGCGATTTGGTTGTTTTACATGGATGGAGTTGATAGCACCACGCCCCAACCCCCCCTCTTTACCAGGGCTTGGGACCGGCGAGAACACTAGTAAGCTAGTAGCCTAGCAAGCTGGTAATCTGGCGAGGTTCTTCAAGTTCTTACAATTATAAAATATAATGCATTTGTTGTCGTTACAATAACGGCCAGTTATGCGGGGGATACATTTTTAACGTGGAATAACAGATTAGTTATGGGGTGTCAGTCAAAATAAATAGTCGTATTTGTGTGACAAACGTGCTAGGCTGAAATCGATTACAAAATATTGTAAAACGGGAGACAATGGTAGTGATTAATCATAATAGATTTGTAGAGTGTGGGGTAGGAAAATTGACAAGTCAGTTCAAGGTTATCGAAGGTGTCAGGAATGGCTAGTACAAAGTGGTCTGTGTTAAACAGGAGACAGTAAGACTGCAATGAGAGGTTCATAATGAAATAACGAATATGTGAAATGAAACAGGTGGAGGCATATATTGAGAAAAGAGATAATATCACTAATAATAAGTCCGGACAGTATAAATGGAAAATTCAGTAGTATTGAGAGAAGGGTTGCATGAAGAGTATAATTTATGACGAATAATAATAACTGTTAGTAAAAAGTTTGAGCATTGTGGATTAGATCAAATAAAGTATAATTATGTTTCAATAGTTTACACACAGTGATAAGTTTTGTTATTGGTAATACTGCCCGTGTTCACACCACTGTTGGAATTGTTTTATTTCATAAGACAAAACTTATCATTGTGTGTAAACCATTGAAATATAATTATACTTTATTTAATAATAACTGTAATAATAATATTTGTAATAATAAGCAAAGGAAAAAAACCAAGAGGGTTAAGGGGAAGGAGCACTCTTGGTGAGAGGAGGAATCATCAATCCAAGTCTGGCCACGGTAGGAACATAACTGGCCTTTATTGTAACCACAATAAATATCATATTTTATAATTGTAAGAACCTGAAGTAGAGAAATTATTGATAAGAATATTCTTCGTTCAGATTGACTATTAACGATACTAGCATTTAGTGTGCTTATGAAAGTAAACGCGTAGTTAGTAATTCTTGGCTGCCCTTATCATGCAATTTACTATCTGCCTCAAACACCTGAGACAGAAAGAGCATTGATGTTGCTTGACCACAGGGCCTAGGGAAAAACTACTTGAGTCAAGCAACATATAACCTGTTTTCGAAGTAGTTTTTAGAACGATATCCAAATAAAGACCTTACTGCTAGCTACGGACTGCCGCAGAGTAAGTCGAGAGGCACAATTTTTAAGGTCGAACACCCCCCAGAGCGAAGAGGCTGTATAGTTGACATGCTGGTAGTCCGACGGAAACACTTTACACCCCTATGACATCATTTTCAGACTCCCAACACAGTGTAAGCGACTTACAGATTTCTTTTCTTTAAAAAGCCTGTTTACTTTACTGTATCGGGAGTAGATATAATCACCTAGACGAGTATTTTATGAAATACAAAATATATAAATAAGTTGTGTAAACAAAATTATCATTGACGTTGACAGAAGCTAGTGTTCCGTTTTAGGTGTCAGTAGTGGAATGCTCTCCAGCCAACTGGGAGGTACAGATGTGATTTCCAGCGGACGTACACCTAGACCACGCCTAGTTCACTAACCTTTAGTAAGTACGGGAAATAGGAAAGGTTGGGAGTCGGACTAGCGAACCCATCCCGTGAAAAACAACACTGCCCCTACTGCGACTTCCACTGGAAACTTAGTTATGCTTAGTACAAAAAGGTGATTGGGCTACCTCTGAGTAAGATTGAAGTAAGAAATCATTTAATTTGTCACCTGATTATAAATCTCATCACTAGAAACAAAGCAAGAATAAAATGGAAAGCAAACAAAACAATGAAAAAAAAAACACGACACCAAATACGTATTTACATTTTGATCTATAACAGCCGAAGTGAATGTATCTGAATCAAGCGGCGACCCAACTTTTAATTGTTTATAGTGACTGAGAAGTAGGCCTTTAAATTTTTCCCATAAACTCTCTGGTACATAGAGACGACTGCATGCACTACACTTTTGTCCAGAGTATTCAAATGAACTACGAATAGTGCCTACAGCAGCTTCTTCTAAATTAGCAGATGGATGAAGAAAGTGATAATTTTTGCCACCACATTCTAGACAAGAAAAAGAAAGAAAGAGAAAATAATCACAATTGAACTAATAAATCTTATGTAATTCTATGTATATAGATGTCGACAAGTACTGAAATCAATAGGATGCCTAAAGAGCAAGTAAACAACTAACTACTATTACCAACAATATAACAGTTCTTGGGCTATGTGACACATAATCCCCGACAATATGCTTCTGTTGTTATTCAGACCTTGAACGGGCAACCGATAATCAGTGACTTCATGGATGGGTGTCATGTACTTGTCTAGTCACCCTTCAACTTCTCCCTCACTATTGTATTGTTACACTGGTGAACAAAACAAGTTGGGATAGACGATCGTAGAAACAAATAACACATATCCCAGTTACCAAAGTTGGTTAAAACTTATAACTACAATTTGTAAAAAATTATATTTATAATATCTCAGTGAGATTGAAATGAGTACTTCCAACGTTTCGTTCGGCAATCTGGTCCGAACTTCTTCAGGGAAATTAATCGAAATTAACAGAACAGAGGTTTATATATAAAAGGAACATTTCTTGTTCTTAAAAACTTTGTTCAATCATGAGTCATGAAACAGGCATCAACATGTATAACAAACAAAATTGTATGAGCTGTGATCGAATTTTGACTTCGAACTTACAAATATTGGTCTACCTTTGATAAACAGTTTAAACAGAGTGTGTTTGTGTGTGAGTGGGTAAATAGTTGTAATACATTTGTTAACGTCTCCATTAGAAAATATAGACAATCGGGAATTTCGACCAAGTATTATTAATTAGTGATACATATCCATTTTTATTTATGAATCAGGATTCGCTATGTATCAGCTAACATCACAGCTTCATGTCTGTTCTAACTGTTAGTATCTAGAATTTTATGATTAGACGTATTTTCAAAATTATGGCGTTTAGGATTAGAGTTTAGTTGAAGCACTCTGTCGAAGTTATTGCTTTGTCTTCTTTTTGAAGGTTGAGCTGCTTTATTTGCGTTGTCAGGTGACTCGACAGCTGCGGATTTTGGATATGCATTCTTATGGAGACGTTAACAAATGTTTTACAACTATTTACCCACCCACACACAAACACACTCTGTTTAAAGTGTTTATCAAAGGTAGACCAATATTTGTAAGTTCGAGGTCAAAATTTGATCACAGCTCATACAATTTTGTTTATTATACATGTTGATACCTGTTTCATGACTCATGATTGAACAAAGTTTTTAAGAACAAGAAATGTTCCTTTTATATATAAACCTCTGTTCTGTTAATTTCGATTAATTTCCCTGAAGAAGTTCGGACCAGATTGCCGAACGAAACGTTGGAAGTACTCATTTCAATCTCGCTGAGATATTAAAAATATAATTATTTACAAATATCTACTCACTCGGCGCCCAAATATTTTAGAACTATTCTGTCAAATATTGACGGCAGTTCATTTGAATTATAACTACAATGACTAAAATACTTCTCCTGCCTAAAACTATGCATTACTTGCATTTTTGCAAGCGATGATTGACTACAATGCAGATAGTTCTATGAAGGTAATTGGAGAATCATTTGAGTTGATTTATTTTCCATCTTATCTTTATACACTTTTAGTTTCATACTACTTATTGCAAATAAGTAGACGAGCCATGTGATCCCATTTTTAATTTATCAACATGGTTGTTCACTTCCGTTAACAAGGCTAAAACAATTATAAATGGCATTCAGTAGCAATGTCTAATTCAGTCCAACAATAAATGATACCGTCAAACTGACAGAGTGGCTATGAATAGTCTTTGAAAGCCTGTTCGCGCTGGTACATTTGTTGCAGACGCAGAAACAACAACGACAACAACAACAACATCGGTTATTACAATCAATGAAACGAAATTTCATGTCAAGTAGATATGTTAATGATACTTTCATTTAGTGTAGTTTTTTAATAATAATAGTAATATAACAGCTTTATTCCAAACAGTATTTGTGGCACAGGTATGGAATTTTCAGCGTGCATTACAATATATTGCATCTAATTACCTCATAAATTTTATAAGATTTTTAAAATCAAAAAAGGAAAAAATAAATAAATAAAAAAAGAACAGCGTAGCGTTTACATTTCAAGCAATGCACCACAGGATATGAAATATAAAGTTGATGTGTGATAGAAGATGAGAACAACAGCGTAATAGTAACGAGGAAAGGAAAACAAAAACTAATGGGACTATTTGTTAGAGTGCCGCCGAAGTAAGTTTATCGTGTCATACCTAACGGATTTCTCATCACATAACAGCTGTGCCAGATATGGTATTGTGGAGTTTTTGTATTTGGTAGTCCTAGCATATAGCCTCCTATAGCTACTTCTAGTTCTACCAGATGAAATGAAAGGAGACAGCTGCGTATATAGAGGATCCTCGGGGTCTGACAATATTGTATTTGCTAGTTTCTTACATTGTTTTGTTTTTCTTTATTACTCCTTTGTCTCACACCTCTGCTCACTGTTTCTATTATGCATTTCTTGTACTTTCTTCTCTTGCTTCGCGTGCTACACGGAGTGTGGCAACTTGAACTTCCGCACATTTGTGCAAAGTTCCATGTCGAAAACAGACAGATAGACAGTTTCTTACATGACATAATATGTCTATCTACAATAATGTTAACCAGTTGGTTTAACGATATCCCACTTGCCCTACTAACGGCTTTTAGTGCCTGGCCTTCTCAGCAAAGCAAAGTCTTTCTTAAGTAGTCCAGGAAAGATTAATAGGGAGCAGTAAAGGGGGATGGGTAGAATACAAGAATTGACAAACTGAGAAATCAGAGACTGGTTTATGCCAGATTGCCTAAATTTCCTAACGTAGAACGTTAAGCGAAACATCTTTCTAGTAACTAGCAAGATGTGGGAGGACCAGGAAAGATCGGTGGAAAAACTCAGACCAAGGTACTTGACATTGGATGTATTTTCAACCTCTGTGTTGAAAAACTGATACAAAACAATTGTTTAAAACACTCCATTGAGGTCAATAAGAAAGTTAGAATGAATAAAACTCCACTTTTAGATTTAGATATTAGACGATGAAGTGATGGAGCTCGTTACGCATAGATTTATCGCGAAAAATGCTATTGTCATTATATTTCAGCCTGTATAGTCGTTAACTCCTTTCCTATTTCCCCTTTGTCATTCCTTCTTCTCTGTTAAATTTATACTACTTGTCCCTAGTAAGTAGTATAAGTTGAATTCGCTAATTCTTAACCATTTCTCTAACTCACTCGACGTATTGGCAATCTATTAAACGTATAATAATTATTTTCTTATAGTCGAACATTATTTGCTGTATATGCTTTATTCGTATACCCATTACTGTTGAACGCTGTTTATCCGTATCCCTTTATATTCTGTGTCTGGCATTCATGCGTCATCTGAATAACACATCGATTGCCTTTGAGACAGCTCTGCTGCTTTTACTTACTGAAGCATATTGACTGTGCTTTTTGACGGCATCCAGCCATAGACACCTCACAGTTGAGATGTATATATTATATTTCATATTTTGTGTTTAATATAGTACTGTATTATAGGCAAATCCTTTGGATTAATCACATATATCCTAAACTATGTGTACAAAAAACAATAGACTTCAACCTTCGCCTAGCATGGGCTACTTGACGAGTGGCCAATCGGCCACTAGTACGTTCTTTTGTTTTATATGACTGAGTAAGTATCATGTATTTTATTTTATTATTGTGAATCATGTTAGTTGTAAAGAGGTTGTAAAGAAATTACGAAATGATATCATCTCGCGAAATTTGTTTTCTAAATGTCTTATTCAAATTTTGTATTTTCGGACTTTACGCGTCACTCAATTAAATTTCCTAAACGCATCGTGCTTTATAATACTGATTGTTTGATATCAGTAGTTGGATGTCAGTCACATCAATCAGTAGTTTCTGTTGGTCAGCCTGGTCAAAGTGATCCGAACACCGGGCAGCTGTTTCACTCATTCGGCGTCAAGATAATCAGAAGTGTAACCGGTTTGACTTAGCTCAGACAAATGAATCAGTTAAAACCACTCGAATTCTGTCTAGCTATTACTTGGGTAAACTGGTAGTACATTTAATCAAATTGTCAACTGGCAACACACAATTCGAGATGAAATTTCACCAGTTTCCTTAGGAGTCCGAAATTAGTTAGATAGAAAAAGGATTCTTCAGTGTTTGAACCAGATGGTCTAATATCGAACTCTTGATGGTTTTTACTACACCTCTGTTAAGCCATACTGGTAGGTATTCTTGAGGACGAAAAACTAAATTCCTAGACCAACCAACAGCCAATACAACTGGCTCCACGGGAGCAGTTGAACTGATAGATAGAAGAAAAAGGTGGCTAGCCTAGGTGATTCATCTTTCACTTGAGGAGTTAAAACTGGTTGTCAGCTGAAGCTCATCGGCATTAAAAGTTCTTCAAATCGGTTTTCTTGACTTATTCGTTGTTATTCCGCTTGATAAGTCACTTATATAAGCACTATCTTACTCTTAAAATAAGCTGGCATTTACTCACATTCAGCTGACTACATACTGTAATTGGAAATATTATACATATATGAACAATTTATGTAACTTTAATCAAAAAAAAAAAACTTACCACCTATAGTTCTTGGATATCCAGTGTACTTGTCTAGATTGTTACCAATCACTTTCAAGATAGATCGGAATGTTCTATAGCATAAACAGGTTTTGTTTTTATTTTTATAAAAGAGAAAGTAGGTCATTAGAAAATTGAGATGGGAATCTGTGAACCATTACAATATATCATAAAGAGTGCATGTCAGTACATTATATATTACTATTCCCTCGGGTTCCGAGTGGAACAATGGGAGGACTTCAACAACACATCTTCACTCTGTTTTATGTTCTGTTGTCCTCTTCACCTGGATCCATGTTTGACCATAATCTCTCATCTCCTCCTCATCACAAGATCTCCTCCATGTCACCCTCACACCGACGACCTACTCGTCGCTTCCCATTTGGATTCCACTCGAGCGATGGCCTGCATATATGGCGCGATGTCATTCAATGGCCTCCTCTCCTACATATTTGTTGAGCAATAGGCTCTTGGTTGGTTTGTTCCCAGCCAGAATTTCTTGTTGCCAATTCCTTCTGGCCGGCTGGTCATTTAATCTTCAGTATGGAGCCAGAGAAGGGGGCAACTGTTGATAAAAGTCTGTCCATGTCAGTATCATACGAAATTCCTGAGTCATGTTGGCCAATTTACAAGTTCAAGGAAACATTAGATAATCAAGTTGAAATTATAACAGTCACCTTGACGTGGTAAAGAGTGAAAATTATTGAATAACATTTTGCCCAATTAATTCATAACTCTTAAACAGGCTGTCTATTTAATAAATTTATACATTGCAGGACTTCATCATGAGCTGACATCAGTTAGAGAACCATTGGAAAACCTGGGAGTACTGGACAGCTGTTTCGTCATAGTTTGGGACTCTTCAGTAGTACGCACCCACCGCCACAGTTCAAACCCAGGGTCTTCTGGTTACAAGGCGGGCTAGCTCGTAGACCATTGAGCAACTGGGACCCGACACAATGGCCCATGAATTCTAATTTCTGCCAATTCACGACATAACGCGACCCCCAGACAATGTCTTCGGCGAGTATTTGTCCTCACACCCGACCTGCTGCACCCTACATTGTATTAAGAGGAAAATAATCCTTAAAAATGTGTTGTTGGATATTAAGGAGAGATAGGAAGAACCATTCTCTTCAACCTGGACTTTTTATTCATTGAGACTGATCAGAAAGATGTATCTTCAATCAGAATGAAACGCAGTGGCAAAATCTCTGGAATCGATATTGAGTAATGCAAAAGAGAGCACATCAAAGTCGACAGACAATCAGCGTTTGACTAAATATGATAAATGAATGGGAGGGGAGTTTCAGTTAGTTTAGTAAATCTGCCAGTTTACGCCGACTCTGGCGTAGACGAGATGTTCGACTATCGACCAAAGGGCGGGTGTACTGCTCATCAGTCCGCTCCGTCCTCCTTTATGGCTAGCTGTGAGACCTGGCCACTCAGAGTGGAAGACATGAAAAGACTAGCTGTCTTTGATCATAGGTGCCTGCGCTCTATTTCCCGTGTAAAGTGGCATAATAAGGTGAGCAACACTGAGGTTAGGCATTGGTCGAGTTCTAGGTAAACAGGGAAATCAATCGACGAAGTCGTGAAGCTACAAAGACTGAGATGGTTAGGACATGTGTTACGTATGCCAAGCCATCGCCTCCCTCGACGAGCAATGTTAGCGGATATAGGGTCAGGCTGGAAAAAAGCTAGCGGCGGTCAAACAAAAACTTGGCTGCACCAGTCAATGAAATCCACAACAGTTGGTCTAAGCCACGTAGAAAGGTGTAGACTTCCGGGCTGGGGTCCTCGGGACGGTAAAAATCAATGGTTGGAAACAATTGGTGACATGGCTCAAAATCGTTGTCAGTGGCGCAGATGCATCCACTCCTTGTGACTTATGATCTCCAATGAAACTGTTTTGTTTTTCTTTATTACTTCTTTGTCTCACACCTCTGCTCACTGTTTCTATTATGCTTTTCTCGTACTTTCTTCTCTTGCTTCGCGTGCTACACGGAGTGTGGCGACTGGAGGTGCCGCACATTTGTGCATAGTTCTATTTCGAAAACAGACAGACAGACAGACAGTAAATCTATGTAGACCAAGACACAAAGGTAGGACCAAATAGGGTTACTTTCCCGAATTCCCATAACTTAGACTTTGTGTAAAAGACGAGTTGGAATTCCTTTCGAAGGGTTTGATGAAATACAATGAGTAACCATGAAAGCCCTTTTTCTGTCCAATTTTTTTCCTTCACCTTCCCCAGTGGAACATAGCGCTTCAAGCTAGTGGCTTGAAGTTTCCGTAGCAGTGTTTATTTTACAGGATGGGGTTGCTAGCCTCATCCCCAACCTTTCATCTTCACCAGCATTATTTCTGGCTTAGCAAGGTAAAGGAGTGCGTCTGTGGCCGGGGATCGAACCCCGGGTCTATCCAATTAGTGACTATTATCAGTCGAATGAGACAAAACTGAGCTTCTTTTAGGTTTTGTATGACCTTTCCTCAGCCATGACACGAGTTGCTCAGAGATGCATTTGTCAAACTGTCTAGTAGCAAGAAACGCTACGCGACATCGCTGAAGAATCATGCGTGGAAGAACATTGGAAGTCTCCGAAGGCGATTCTCAACGAAACGTGTTCAACGGTTCTAGGAAGAAAGAGGAGACAAGACAATGAATGGCTCTCAACGGACACTTGGAAATTAATAGGGGAGCTGAGAAGGCAGCAGGCAAGCGGGACCTGAGGACATTATATCAGATAACAAAATCTCTATCCGGGAAGAGATCAACACAAGCGAAACCTATAAAAGACAGCCAAGGGAACCCAATTACCAAGGAGGAATGACAGATTAAACAGTGGGCGGATCACTTCAGAAAAATCTTGACCGACCATTACCTGCAAACCTTCCAGAAATACCAACAACAGCGCGCATACAACTGCAAGTTGACACCAATCCTCCAAAGAGAGCTGAAGTCTTGAATACAATCAAGCTTCTGAAAGCTGGAAAAGCAGCTGGACCAAATGGAATACCCCCTGAAGCACTAAAAGCGAACCCAGAGACAACAGGGGACTTGATGATGCCATTGCTGGAGAAGGTGTGGAAGGAGGGCAAAGTACCCGAGGATTGGAAGAAAGGATACTTATTCAAACCACCAAAGAAAGGAGACTTACGTCAATGCAAGTACTGGCGCGGAATTATGCTCCTGTCTATCCCAAGCAAAATACTAAGCCGAATCATCCTGGAGAGAATCAAACACGCCGACCTGGATGAAAAACTTCGACCAGAAGAGGCTGGATTCAGGAGAAACAAATCATGTATTGATCAGATCGCCACTCTACCGTTCATCATTGAACAAAGCTTGGAATGGCATTCACCTCTCTATCTCAACTTCATCGACTTTGAAAAGGCCCTTGACAGCACAGTGTCGGTCGAGAGGTGATTTGGAAACTACTTCGCTACTACGGGGTGTCGCCCACAATTATACGTCTCATCCAACAGTTAGTTGTACGACAATCCCGCATGCCAAGTAATCCACAACGGGAAACTTACGGAAGCCTTCGAAGTGAGGGCGGGAGTGAGGGAAGGCTGTCTACTATCACCAATGATCTTCCTGACTGCAGTAGATTGTATAATGCGACAGAAAACGGGAAATGAGGAAACAGGCATAAAATGGACTCACACAAAAAATTTGAAGGATATGGACTTCACCGATGACATATGTCTGATTTCCCACAAACTGGAAGATATGCAAGTGAAAAGCAACAAGTTGACAGAGGAAGAAGCATCAAAGATAGGACTTCAGGCGAACATGGAGAAAACAGAGTTAGGTGATGAAGATTCCTGGCCAACACCAACAGCCACAACAACAGACAACAGTCAGCATAAATGGGAATAACCTGAAAGAATAAACTTCCCTAACCTATTTGGGAAGAATCATTTCAAATACAGGCGAAAATAACGAGGATATCAAAGCGAGAATCGGAAAAGCAAGAGAGGCTTTCACTACTCTTCAGTCTGTGTGGAGGTCAACAGCACTCACAATCAAAAATAAGATCCGGATTTTCGACTACAGTGTGAAGTCAGTGCCACTTTATGGATCAGAGACTTGGCGCGTCATAAATACCATCTCAAACAAACTTCAGACCTTCATAAACAGATGTTTCCTCTAAATACTCAGGGTCAGATGGCCGGCCAGAAAAGATCAGCAACAGGGATCTCTGGCAGTGAGCAAACCAACCAGGAACCGATTGTGAAACAAATAGGCAGGAAGAAATGGAGATGGATTGACTGGCCATACTCTGAGGAAACCATCGAGTGACATCACTAGACAAGCCATTGCTCGAGTGGAACCCGAGAGGGAAGCGGCGACTTCGTCGTTCAAGGGTGGCTTGGAGGACATAATGTAAACAAAGAATGGAACCATAAGGGCAGACAAGGAGCTTGGTGAAAATATTATCTGAAAAACGAAAGAATGAAGACGCGTAGCTGAAGACGTATGTCTTCCAGGAAATAAACGATGTAAAAATAAATAACAATATTGAAAATCAGTGAATATGTGCTTCCATCCCAATGAATGTAGTATCAAACTGCTCACTCTCAAAAACTTTCGAATGAATGTATACTATAATATCACGGATAGTCAAGATACACTCACGAGAAAGTGTTTCAACCGACGTGACACAAACAAACTGATGAATGATGACATGAATACATGGAAAGCATGAATGAAATTAACTAGTCAGATGCAACAGAAATAGGTGTCAGAGTGTGGAATTTTCAATATGTTTCACATGAGGATAGCGATAAGGTGTGAAATGACATTCGACACATCCTGAGTAAATTCAAACAGTGACTTTCTAAATAGTACGCGTAGGCGTAACTCTCTGTGCCCAACACCGAACAACTGATCTCTGTCTGTCTCAGTAGATTGTATTCCAGGCGATTTGTGGAAGTCAGTTCAGTGGAGACCAGAATTCAAATGACCCATGCACACAGTGTGAGCAGAAACCAGTTTTGTACTGCATAGTCAGCAGTCCATACTGTCAGACATGGTTGCAATCACTACTAGGTTGCCGTGTCCCTGTCAAAGCAAGATGGCCTCTCCCGCAGTCGAGAATACTGGTTTCTGTTTTCTTT